CAGTTAAAAGCAAGCCATGACCAATTAAAAGCAAGCCATGACCAGTTAAAGGCAAGCCATGACCAGTTAAAGGCAAGCCATGACCAGTTAAAGGCAAGCCATGACCAGTTAAAGGCAAGCCATGATCAGTTAAAAGCAAGCCATGACCGGTTAAAAGCAAGCCATGACCAGTTAAAAGCAAGCCATGACCAGTTAAAAGCGAGCCATGACCAGCTAAAGGCAAGCCATGACCAGTTAAAGGCAAGCCATGACCAGTTAAAAGCAAGCCATGACTAGTTAAAGGCAAGCCATGACCAGTTAAAAGCAAGCCATGACCAGCTAAAGGCAAGCCATGACCAGTTAAAGGCAAGCCATGACCAGTTAAAAGCAAGCCATGACCAGTTAATGGCAAGCCATGACCAGTTAAAAGCAAGCCATGACCAGTTAAAAGCAAGCCATGGCCAGTTAAAGGCAAGCCATGACCAGTTAAAGGCAAGCCATGACCAGTTGAAGGCAAGCAATGTTCAGTTGAAGGAAAGTAATGCCCAGTTATTGGCAAGCTATGCAGAAATGCAAAAGCAAATCAACAAATTAAAAGAGAACAATACAACTTAATTGAACAATATTCACATATTTTTAAGCAGATTTCTACCACGAAACTTCTGTTACTCAACACCCATAAAGCACTTGATATTAGTAACGCCGGAATGTTCAATCATTTCGAAGTCATTTCAATCTAATGTATTAGCATATACCCTACTTCAATAAGTTTATTTTTCCTTTTATTGATTTGTACAGTAATAAATTAAATAATGTGCATTTGGTAGTGTGTTCTTTATTGAATTTTATAAAGAACTCCTCAGTGTCCACGGTGGAAATTCATTAACTTTATAATCAGTTAAAACTACAAAACAAGCCACTCAGTTGCTTTTCAAATTAGTGTTATATTCTTCGTAAAAATGCCGTGGTTTTGTTATCTGAAGGAAACCTCTTAATGAAATGTAACTTGATTTGTAACAAATAATGCTTTTGTTGTAATTATTTCCTCGAACTCTATGCAAGTGATAACTTTAACTATTTTGAAAACGTCAGTTAAAATAGAGTAAGTTTTTGTGATATTTTGGAGCACAATCTATAGGTGGATTGCATGTTGGTGGTCAAATACAAAAGAATATTTTATTAATGCTATTGTGGGCTCCAGCCATCGTGGGCGAGGCACATTGTTGGAGAATTCTTAGGAGGTTGGTTGCAATCCAAGAATAAAGAAAGCGCATTTATACTTATGACTTATACAGATCTATTTATAAGAAAATTTATTCCAATTTGATAAATTATCATACAAATATTTCATTTTTAATTTATTACACCCCTTCATATATTGTGGAACAGCTTTCACGTCGTTTATTAAGAGGGAGCAAGATTTAGAATTTTCCCAGTAATTTGTCATGCGTTTGTTAGAAACTACGTACGTCTAGATTGATTTAAATAAATTCAAAACCAGATAATTTACACAACAAATCAGTTTCATCAAAACTACAGTCAAACCTGCATTAACAGTCGTCATTGATGGCAGTCTCTCTCTCTGGGACTCATGTGATCATTTGATGCATGTTGACCGCTAAATACACGATCTTCTTGAAAGTCACCAAACATTTTACGTTTACTAAACGGTTACCGTGATTGGATGGCCTGATCTAAACACGCGGGAATTAATGCGCCAGAATGCTCAACCAATTTGAAAAGCAATCTTCAGCAACACACTTCCTCCCTCCCTCTCTTTCCAACGCTCCTCATCTATGTTTACCTACGCATTATTTTGAGTTACATTGGTTCATTGTAATAAGCCTATTCATTGACCAGTTAGATTTGGTCGTTTAATAGCGTCTATGTATAATGAGAAGAGACGTTCGTATCATTTCTATTATACCAGTATGAATTTCTAAAAACAAAATTTAATAGATACTTTTTTAAAGTGGTTAATGCAACGAATTTTCCACTTGTCTTTTTCCTAGCTTATTGAAATATTTGACTTTTGAGAAGCAATTTGATGCATAAATGACTTTCATGTGAGGAGTGGAAGTTCTCTAAATTTTTCTCCAAACATAGTCATTTCGGGCAAACTTTATTGCCGCCATGTTTGTTCGTTGTGACGTGAACGAGTACCGCCCTGTAATTACTTTGTAGTATTTAGTAAGTAAAAACCCAATAACTTTGTTTGAACTCAAATAGAGTTTTTTTAATACATGTTATTCACGGATATCTGGTAAAGAGTTCTCAATTAGTACTTAATCCGCAAATTTTGTTTATGTATAATACTACATCTAATACAACTCATATAAGTACATAAGCGATAGTGTAATTTGTAACAAGAAACTTTTTTGTGCACGACAAGAAAGCATAAAATGTCGAAACAAGCATTGATGAACGGATATAATCGTTCTATAGACAATAACACAAAGGAATAACAGTAGATCCTCTACAACTAGTGGTAATGGTTATACAATGAACAGTATCTTTTGATATAAATTATTTGAAGTTTAAAAATAAGTGATGAATAAAGCATAGTAAGCAATTTCATTTATTTGTTAATTATGAAGTACAATTTCAACATTGCCAAACATATTTGTTGGAAGATATAATCGAGAACATATCTTGTCAGCATTGAATACATAAAATACATTTCCAACAACACCCATTACAGAGATTTTTTGGCCAAATAGTATAGCATTCATGCTGTTTTTGTGGGTAGAAGTCATTAAATCAAAAAGATTGTTTCATATAAGCTATAAAATGTTTGCTATTTGCAGTGTAATATATTTGCTATAATTTGTAATTTGGATGCCCCACCTGAGAGCTTTTTTTGTGCAAACTACCAAGATGGGATGATAAAAGGCTTCAATACCTGAATAAATGAGTCATACTCCTCAACTGGGTGAATATGATCAGTGTGGTAATATGTTAAATATAAATATGTATAAAATGCACAGCCAAATTTATGTAAATATTACGAATTTAAGAAATAAAAAATGTTTACCAGAGAATAAAAACAATACAGAAGGGCCACTCAAGTGTGCGCCGCTTCTTCACGGCCGCCATCATTCCAGCAAGATAACAAACCAATGCAAAGTCAGCGCGCCGGCACGTGTGTCATTGAGTTTATTTTATAAATTATCATAATGGCTATATGGCGTGGCGAAGAGCACCTATTAGGGGGTGTTTACATGAGTCCGGATTGACTTTCGATCCGTAGTGAACTCATTTCATTTTAAAAGAAATTCTATTGCATGTTTACATGAATCCGAAATGAGTCACAGCTCGATCCGGATCAAGCTCATTCCAATTTTCATTCCGGATCGAAATTTAGTTTTAACCTCATATAAACGCGAATGGAGTTTCATTCTGGAACGAGATTTTGCTTAATGACGAAGCACGCATGCACCATGTGTGTTGTCTTCTGGGAAATTGAAGCTCGTACGCAAATAAGACGGCTAAATGGGCTAAAATGAGTACGAAGAAAAGCAACAATTAGTTTGATGCAAGTATTAAGCTGTATTAACGCAGAAACAATAGAAATGAAAAGGGTTGTTATAATGTTTATGTTCGTTATCTTCAAAATTCCTGCAAAATGTCAATCCTTGTTTTGATTTCCCATGTAAACACGGATTGACATCACGTTTTGATCTGGATTGAGAGTCATTCCAGATTCATGTAAAAACCCTCTTAGAGTAGAGAACGAGGCGTTTTTGTAAAAGAAGCTGCATTCAGGAAATCCTATTTCACAAAAGTGGAAGGACTGAGTCGAACCATTATTGGAATGTATAAAATGGGGGTGATTGCTAGATAGTATACTTCAAAATAAGATTTCCGCTGGGAGACTGGTGCGAGTTTTGCAATATCTTCGGAAAAAAGAAACGAGAGCATCACGAGTATACCGTGTTCTTTTGAAGGATGTCCTTTTTTGTTATAATGCAATGCGCCATTTTTAAAATTTTGCGGGAAAACAATTAATGAACACCACGCATATAGGCTATAGTTCGTCATTATAAACTTATGAAAATTTACGATCTTTGTAATGTAAATTTTTCAACGAATTAATGTCAATGAATAAAATTTGGGACTGCTGTGACGGCCACAGGGCTGCCGTGCAAAGCCTGTCTGATGTAATGCCGCTTATCGTGAAATACGAAGTTGAGACAAACAGCAAGTTCATTGTCTACTACGGTGATTAGAGCTTTGGATCAAAAGGTAATTAGCTCAACAGTTTAATACATCGTCAATTTAATAAAAATTAATTTGAGTGGCAGTTGAAAAAGCTGAAATGTACAAAATTAATTGCATAAAAAAGTAGTAAATAGCATACTAATAAATTAAGTGCACTTTACTACTATAAATAAAGAGACACAACGCTCTGGTAATCGTTTCTTCTTGCGCTTAATTTAATCGTAATATTACGCTTTTTAAAAACAGCACAACCAAAAATTTACATTGATATAAGACGTCCCCGGTTGTAAAATTTTAATCATTAACATATTCAGATGTTAGAAAAGACAACGTAAAAGTTTACTGGGAAAGGAAGAATGAAGCGTTACAAGGGCCTATTATCCCATTTAACGGAATACCTTTTGTGCATGTCGGAGATAAAATTTTATGGTGCCACCAAGGAAAAGACAAAAATGAAAAATCTAAGCTAAAGAAGAAAGAGAAAATCAGCAGCGACAGGTAGTCAATGACTAGATTACTGTAATAAGAATGATAGTTTGCGTCCTCTAAAATGTTGCTAAGACATCTCGTTGCCTTTTCACCTTGTGTATTCCTGCACAATGTATAATCTGCGCTAATAAAATGCAGCCAACTATACAATATTTTACGTCTTCCTTGTATTTATAAAGAATGTTAAATTTATACATTTTTAGGTTACAGACCACTGCTACAATTCTACGCGAAGATTGTTTGCTCAAACGACAAAGAAGAAACAATGCCCAGCTTTAATCTATATAACGCAAATTGCAAAATTCCCTAGAATGAAGGTTTGTTAAACACTATAAAATGAAGACAAAATAATATATAATTATAAAAACTTGTGCGTAAAAGGACATTACAATGTTTTACTCTTTAGTTGGACAAGGACAGTATCTTCTTCAGAAGAAGAAAAGCAAAGCAATTACATGAGACAATGAAAACTGGCACAATTAAGAGCAGCGACATCGAGATGCACTATGTCGTGAAGTTTCCTCGCCCTTCAGAACACAAAAATCACATAACTGGAATGGTAAAATTTGTTTAAAAGAGATTAGCTATAGCTAAAATTTTTGTAAAGTTTTACACCTTGCAGGCAGCTGGTATAAGAGAACCATTGGATCCAGTGATAGTGAAGAAGCTAGCAGAGCTGGCCCGCGACGGTGTTCACTCAGTATGCGAAGCACGTAGATATCTTGAGTTATTTGTAAATGGTGAACTATTCAAGGGTGTAAACTTCCAGATAAACTTAGCAGGCGATTTTATCCTACGAACAAGGATATCTATAACCATCTTTACAAAGGAAAGCCGAACCATTTTTCTTCCAATGATCAAAAGAACTTGGAAGAGCTTATTAAAAAATGGAAGTTTGAAAATCCACAAGATTTCTTTCTGTTTCGTCCTCACTCCGGCAAACCATGTGCAGAGGAGTCAACAGAGAACAATGATAACACCATCTCAAACGAAGATACAGAGGAATCGTTAGAGATGGACACAAGCACTTTAATTTTCTGTCATCAAACGAAATATCAGAAACACCTCCTAGGAAAGTATGGCAATCAAATGTGCTTACTCGATGCCACCTATAGAACAACGAAGTATGATCTCCCACTTTATTTCTTGTGTGTGAGAACAAATGTATGTTACCAAGTTGTTGGATCATTTATCATACAGTTCGAAAACATCAAATGTATACAGGAAGCGTTGATGGTGTTTAAGGAGTGGAATGCTGATATATGGAAGCCTTCTCGTTTTATGGTAGATTTCGCCGAAGAAGAAATTCAAGCACTCGAAACAACCTTTCCAGGTATGCAAACGTACAACAGATTTGCATCGTGGTTTTAAAGCTCCACGATAACGCTTTAAACATTTACGGAATTCCCCCCGATAAACTTTATACGTGTATGAATATATTGTCGCATTTTTTGCCATAATTCTAATCGCATGCAGACCAAAAAGTTAAAAATCGAACATTGAAAAATGCTAAAATAAACATAGTTGGTGTCGTTAGAGAAAAGTAGTTATTTCATTACATATAAAACATTTTCATGTAAAATAGATGCGGAAGTACTTCTTTGTGATTTTCATCGAGAGAAATCGTGGCAGGAGTGGACGTCAAAAATAGATAATGGTGTTTTTCAGAATAAACAGGAAATTCTAAATCTACTACGCAATATTGCACATGCTGCTACGTCTGAACAATGTCAAAAGTCAATGAACGCCCTGACAGAAAGCATATTTTGGAAAGAAAATCTCAAAATGAGAAACTGGTTTGGTGGAAAGTGGCTGCCAAACATTAAGGTAGTAAACTAAATATAGCGATGGAATCAACGTTGATAGAAAAGCGATGTACTATTCATGAAATAGTCTAAATTAATTTTGCTATTTTCGAAGGAGACCCTTTTATAAAATTATAAAATTTTACTAGGCAATTTTGTAAAACCAAATCTCCAGGGCTTATATCGTTGTATTATTTCATAATCTCAAATAAAATACTATGTACTAGCAGAACATGCAAAATATACTGTATTGATCGTTTTCTTACAGAGATGGTGTCAAGCGTATCGGACAGGAGATTTCATTTGTGCAGTGAACACGAACAATGGCATTGAAAGACAGAATAAGGCATTCAAATATGAGTACCTCCATGGGAATAAAGGGTGCTCCTTAAGTGATATGCTGACAGCACTTGTTGATCGGTTTCTCCCAAATACCTTCAAAAAAGTAAAATTTTTAATACTTCACAATACTATAATGATTCTATGTTTTTATAACGAAAAAATACCAGTTTTGAAGGAAAAATTCATTTCGTAGGGTTTTTGTTGTGTGACACAGGCCCCTTCTTTTGAAAAAAACAACTGCTTAATTAACAAATTATTGAAAGGTGTGATTAGGCTAACTACAGCGGCACTTACTGTAGACTTTAGTCATCTTTGGATTCTAATAAGATGTAATAATATTCGTGAGTGACGTTTTCCTTTTACAATTTTAGATATGCTGAGCTAAATGTTAAATGTCACGAAGGTTACCGTGCTTATAATGAGGAACTTCCAAAATTTCTGCACAACAGACCTGCCAGAATGGTGTCTCATATTATGAAGCGTTGGGATAGTGACATTAGCAAAGACATGGTCCACATGGTGTCCCCAGGGGTCTTTGAAGTAAAAAGTTCAACAGGGAAGGAGCACCATATCGTACTTTTTGGTGATGAACAAACGCTTCCAAACTGCACCTGCGTAGACTGGAGACACAACAAACTTTTGTGCAAACACTTCTGTGCTTGCATAAGAGCTTTCCAGAGTGGAAATGGGATAGACTCAGCCCACTTTATCGAGAAAATCCACTTTTCATCTAGATAACACCATAGTTCCAGCAGATAACTCGCTCGAAAATATTCCTAGTAAAAAGAGCAGCAGAATTCACCTCAACACATTAAGAATGAATCGCTTGTGCCAAATGATGCTGATGATTTTGCTCCTCTTCCACCGAAAAGACATATGGTAAAATGCTCTACGTCTCAAATGTAGAAATCTAATGAAAGAACTATCCAGCTTGACATTTCTTATAGATGACAAACAACAACTATTGTCTCTTACCAATGGTCTTAATACATTGCTAGAAGAAGCACGAAACTCTGCACCACAGGAAGCAGGAATAATTCTTCAAGATTCACTACCAAAACAAGAATCTAAAAAAAATGACAAAATCAAAAATAGTCAAAAGAAGCAAACAAGAGTTAAGTCAATTAATATTAGATCCTATGGGCGTCCTAAGCACCCATACACTGGTCGAGTTGGAAGACGTGCAGAAATAATGAAAAAAAATTATAAAGTACATATACCAATACCTTCTGGTAAGGCTGTGAAGAGGTGTTCAACGGGACCTAATGTAATTGACCTCAGCTCGCCTAATAAACGGCTTTGCGAAAATCTTTCAAGACCACAGCCTTGGCTACATGTTTCAAATATAAATTTATCTCTGGTTGATAAAAACATACTTAGTTCAGGAGATCTAATGAACGACAAACACATCAATGCAGCACAAATTCTTCTTAAAAACCAATTCCCAGAAGCATGTGGCCTAATGGATACACTGATAGTATCAAACCAACTTAGTGGGGAAGGTTTACCAAATATAAACAGTTCAATGACTAACATAATCCAGCTTCATAATCTTCCAGGTCATTGGCTAGTATCTCAGTCAAATGGACAATCAGTGATAGTCTACGACTCTCTGTATCCTGGGATGACACATCCACTCACCATGCAATTGGTATACTTATACAAGAGTATAGCAAAGGAGGTCTACTGCTAGTAAAACTCAGGTGCTGTCAAAAGCAAGCAGGATTTGTAGATTGTGGTCTTTTGCCATAGCTAATGCAGTTTCTCTTGCTAATGGAATTTATCCTGGAGCAGTCATTTTCCAACAGAGCCAGATCGTCAACATCTAAAACAGTGTCTGAAAGAAAACAGCTCACAATGTTCCCACATGAAGTAAACAAAGAGCCTTGTCATATTCTGGAAAGGTCAACAATGATAAAATGCTGAAGGACTGTTCATGATGTACATTTTATAAAATCAGTAGTGGATCTAGGGTAAGGAAAAATAAGTTATGGGCAATATTTTTCAATTCAAGTACCTTTATAACAATGGCTTTGTTTAGGAATTTTTCAAGGTTAAATGAAACCAATTGATGGACTGTTTCAATGTATTTTCCTAGATCCACCACTATATATATAAAAAATAATCATGCATGAGACATAATGAAAGGCCATAGAAAAGCACATTTGTGGACATTGCACAATTATGGTTAAAATTATGGATAAGTATATTGCTATACACAGGTTATGTTTCTCTCTTCACATGTTGCAGTGATGATAATCAGGGTGGGAAACAGACAAAGTGTTGCATCAGCCATCAGAGAAAAATATAGTGTCTGGTCTTAATTAATAACCTGATAGGTACTGTTCTCAAATGCCATATCATGCTAATCATAAACTGATTTAATGTAAATAAATTTGTAGTAGACTAATATTGCTACCTAATAAGGCTGTTGATGTGTCAACCGGCTCAACCCGTGTAAAATTTCGTTTGTTAAAGATTTACCTGAATTCGACATATATCTTTGTATATCTCGCAGTCTCATATGTTTGTATCTCATAGTCGTATATATATGTACATATATATTAATGAGTGAATATTCCTGGATGTATTTTATTGTATATCTTGATAATTTGCTTCAATTATATGAGTAAAATAGTATAATTATTCAATACATTTATATATTTTTTGCGATTCTTACCTTGAGGAGAATGAATTTCTAGCATACTGATTCAATCAAATACCAACAACTTCATCACAATAAAACTCCTACACTAAACTATTCTCATTGATAATAGGTTTACCCAGGGTTTATCGCTTTGTTCGTTATTCGTGATGCTCTCGTTTCTTTTTTCCGAAGATATTGCAAAACTCGCACCAGTCTCCCAGCGGAAATCTTATTTTGAAGTATACTATCTAGCAATCACCGTATAAAATGAGCAACCTTCTGTAGTTCCGGTACAAGGACGTGTTAGGTGAAGCTGTTGTCGTCTGCAGGAGGACGTATTTTTCCTCACGAAATCAACTCTAGAACAGTCTCAAAATGTCTGCGGACGCTGGATACCATAGACCTGATCAAAGTAAGATACAACAGCTCAATGACATTGCGAATAAGCTGCGAATTCACAGCATCGAGTCGACCAACGCATCGAAATCAGGGTACGTGGCAAATAAGCTGCGACGAGCTTGCTCTACAAAATTTCATTGTACATTCTTCAATCATATTTTTGTATTCAGACATCCCACATCATGCTCATCAATGGCTGAAATAATGTCCGTGCTGTTTTTTCACACAATGCGTTATAAAGGTAGAAATCAATCAAATGTTCTTGTGCAAACTCTAAACTTCCTCGTGTTCGAATTAAAATTGTCGTTCAAACTTATGATGGCATAAAATTTGATTTGTTCGTATCATTTTCGATTCCCGTGCTTTAACGAAATAAGTGTGCTTTATTAGTTGTACCGCGTTCAGGATTAAGCTATTGTAGAAAGAAACTGTACTATAAGTACGCCCCCTTTAAAGTTTTGTGAGTTACATAACTCATAAAAAATAAACGCAATGAAAAGCGTGCGCTGATTGGTCTAGAGCTGAGTTTGCATTAGCATGTGCAAAAAATGTCCAAGTTAGAGACGTTGTGTGGTAAACTCAAAGTTTATCAAGATTTCTGAAATGTTGATAAAGTGTACAATGGAGCTCAAAATTTTAGGTACCTGTTAGAATTAAATTAGAATAAGATTAAGGCTTTTAACTCTCTCTTATGACTCTCCCACCTCTCAAGATTAATTTTTACTGATTGTTTTTACTCTTGCATAAATAAGACGATGCCGAAATACATGGACATGAACATATTTTCAAGAAACTTTGACAAAATGATGGTTTTACAATATTTTGAAATTTACTAGCTTTATTGATGCACCCTGTATTACAATATATAAAAACTTTTTGTAAAGTTTTTTTACCCACTTATAGATCAGTTCTCTGTGTAATCATAGCTATAGTCACAGTAGTCTGATTTTTTTTGGTTTGCAGTTAGTGATCCACGTGATGCATCAAGTGATCGCTTTGTGTTGTCGAAGGTATTTTATTTTCTCTGACCACTTTTCTTACTAGTTTTTGAGGATTTTGTTAGTGTTTTATCCATCTATCACTAGAATTCCAGTCCTCTTGTTGTGTTTGTAAAACTTTTATTTCTTGATAACAGGGCCATTCAGCGCCAATTCTTTATGCTGCGTGGGCTGAAGCCGGACTTTTTCCAGCAAGTGATTTGTTGAAGTTGAGGAAGATTGATTGCGATTTGGAAGGCCATCCCACTCCGGTATGACGTATTTGATGACCTGATTTAGTTCATGTGGTCATGGCTTATAAATTCATTCTTTTGGTGTTTGAACAACTCTAGAGATTGAGTTTCGTTGATGTGGCAACTGGCTCACTTGGTCAAGGTCTTAGCTGTGCAGCTGGTATGGCCTATGTTGGAAAAAACTATGACAAAGCAAGGTATCTTAGCTTTTTATTTAAAAATTGTCTTGAAAAGAGCAAATACCATGGTGAATGGTCAAAACAATATGGAAACTAACTTCTACTAGACACTAAATTCACTTAGTGTCTTCAAGCTGTAAAAACAGTTCAGTTGGGTTAGTGTTCTGGTTTTGAAAAGTTCTTTTAAGAACTATTTTGGTATTCTTTTGACCATTTGCTCAGGTATTTGCTCTTTTTAAGACAGTTTTTAAATTTGTCACAAAATCTCTATTTTACTATTTAAGAAAGCTTTTTATTTATTGAAAAAGTTAATGTGACTTGGTCTGAGATGATCGATACCACATATGTTTTAGTTATCGTGTCTACACTCTAATGGGTGATGGTGAATCAATGGAGGGCAGCGTTTGGGAGGCTGCAGCATTTGCCAGTTATTATAAATTAGATAATCTTGTGGCTATCATTGATGTCAACCGCTTGGGTCAAAGTCAACCAACCAGTCTGCAGCATCAGATGGAAGTTTACAAAGCAAGAATGGAAGCCTTTGGGTAGGTAGAACTAAAAATACCTGCCTTGTGGTGTGGAATAACAACCGTTGAATTTATTCAGTGTGGACCAAATAATGTCTACTGCTTATTTGCATGTGGATGTACATTGTTGTATGAATTTCAAGATGATAAGAAATAGATAAGCATTGGATCATTGATGAATCATAATTTTGATTTAAGCATTGCAGTGAGTTATTGTAGGATCATTTCGGAAGCATTTCAAAGCATTTTTGTGGACTATTGATTATGGCTCATTAAATATGTTGGGTTTGCAGCATGTCCATCAAAGTTGTACCATTTTTGTTCTATTTAAGCTGGAATGCCATAGTGCTTGATGGCCATGATGTTGAAGCTCTTTGTCGTGCATTTTATGATGCAAGTGTGGTGAAGGGAAAGCCGACATGCATTGTTGCCAAGACATACAAAGGCAAAGGCATCAACGGTCGGTAGTGTAATATGGAATCAATTTAGAATACTCTGCATTTGAATGTTTCAAGTGTGCTTCATCTGTCTTTCTTTTACTGAAACATAAATTTACTGATAACTAAAAGTAGACATCCCATATGTTACAACTGTAATGTTCTTATCAATTGTCCACCACTCCACGAGATAGTTTGATTGTCAATTCAATTGTTTACACTTTTGACTGATAACGTATTATATAAACAGTTCTAGGAACATTGATAATTGGGGTCTAATATTGATACATGCATGCCATAATCTGTAGAAAACAATGGATTTCCAATGTACTTAATATGGCATGTCATGAATGTATATGAATATGAGTCCCACCAATTACAATCTGTATTATGTATCATTGCGGTTTTTATTGCCTTGACCAGGATTTCATTTTAGTTTTTCTATAATTGCCATTTCCAGGAATCGAAAATTTGGAGAACTGGCATGGTAAAGCACTGGGAGACAAAGCTGCCAAGGCAATCGAAGAAATCAAGGCTCATATTAAAAATCAAGGTCCTCACGGCTTGAGTCCTCAGCCTGTCATTGATGATGCACCGGATGTTAGTTTGAAAGCCAAATTGATCGAACCGCCAAATTATGAACTTGGACAGAAGGTGCGCGAAGTCTTGTCGTGACTACCCGTTTATACTTCTTTGTTTTCCCACTGATGTGAAATAGTTGTCGTCTTTGTTACGTGTTTCTTTATGTTAGGTTATTTTGCACGTAGAATTCCATTTGGGCAGTTTTGTTTCTTCATTCTCAGTTGTGATAATTTATCCAAAAGAAATTTTACGTTATTGTTTTATTACACAAAATCATTGTTCTTGCAGAAAACATTTATGCTAGCTCATAATTTTTTCCTCCGTTTACGTAGATAGCAACTCGTGAAACCTATGGAAATGCTCTTGTAAAGCTCTACAAGACATGCCCGCGTGTTATCGCTCTTGACGGCGACACAAAAAACTCCACGCACTCGCTCAAGTTGATGAAAGCGAACAACGACAATTACATCGAATGTTTCATCGCCGAACAGAATCTTATCGGTGTTGCTGTCGGTTGTGGTACTCGACATCGTACCATTCCGTTTGCCAGTACTTTTGCCTGCTTCCTCACGCGTGGTTTCGATCAAATAAGAATGGCCGCCATCTCTCAAGCGAACGTGAAATTTTGCGGTTCTCATTGTGGAGTTTCCATTGGTATGTTGGGTCTGTCACGTGACTTCATGCTCTCAACATTTGTTTATCCAGTGGTTGTTACTTTTCAATTATAAAAAACATCTATACATTATTTTACTTTTGCATGAGGGTGGGGAGAGGTGAAGCAGTTTTTCCTAGTCAATATTGCTTCGCATTTAGGTGAAGACGGTCCATCTCAAATGGCTCTTGAAGATCTTTCAATGTTCCGATCAGTTTACGGCTCTTACGTATTTTATCCATCCGATGCTGTGTCCATGGAAAGAGCTGTTGAACTATCTGCTAACACCGAAGGCATCTGCTTCATCAGATCCAGTCGACCCGCGACACCTGTCATTTATAAAAACGACGAAGTTTTTGAAATTGGAAAGTCTAAGGTAGTTCTTTTAACGTTATTGCTCATTTTAGCGTCGCTCCCGTCGAAGCGCTTCACTCAGGTTGGAAAAATTAGCAAGCACCGTTGTGCTAAAATATGGTATATTTCACTATGTTTACTTTGTCGTCCATAGTCGGTTTTGCAATAGGATATTCATTCTCGCATAATCATCTTTTAAATTCTTTTCAAGCTGTTAATTTTCTTTCCAAAACAACTCTCGAAAGAAATGCGCATTTCACGTTGACTTTATATTTCAAATCAAATAAGGTTGTGAAGAAAAGTGATAACGACAAGGTGCTCATTATCGGAGCTGCTATCACTCTTGTGCACGCTATGGAAGCTGCCGAGGAGCTTGCCAAAAGTGGTATCAATGCCCGCGTTCTCGATCCTTTCACCATCAAACCTTTGGACAACGAGGGTATCATTGCTAACGCTAAAGCTGCTGGTGGTAAAATAATTACTGTTGAAGATCATTATCCTGAAGGTGACGAAATTTGTTTGGTTAACTGTCGTAAGCAGGCCCCTAACCAGGGGGGAGGTTGAGTTCACCTCAATAATCCAATTATCCATGAGGTCCGCTTCTCAAAAATTCAACTGAAAAAAGTAATAAACAATAATTGAAGTTGTCTGGTTAAATTTGGCTATCCTTGCAGCAATCACCTTGTAATTGAGTTTGACTTTCTCATCTCACTAAGATTTCTCTTTTGTTGTGTTTCGTAGGTGGTATAGGCGATGCTGTTTGTTCTGCCGTCTCAGCGGACTCTTCAATTGTCGTTCATAAGCTTGCCGTTAACGGTTTGCCACGTTCCGGGCCATCTGCTGCCCTTTTAGATATGTTTGGCATCAGTAGCAAGCACATCGTTGCTCTGGCAAAGAAAATTTTGGCTTGAATTAAACGCTTGGACTTAAACATTTTTTGTCTACACTGTTTTTTTTGTCATATAACAAGTCTTTGCTTCACATGAATACACCTAAATGTAACTTAGTTCAGCATCTTGCGAATGGGAATTATCGCGTAAAAGGAAAATAGTCGATAGATGTAGTAAAATGATATGTATTGAGCAGATATTATCGTATATATATTTTTTTGCGTGCTTAAACTTCTTCCTTGGAAGAACCCTTAGCGATAAATGATGATGGGTGATAGTCCAGAAAATAACAAGCATTAGGGCTAGGTACTAACATATTGAGATAAGCACTAGCGAAAGTCTTTAAACAGTTGCGGGGAGAGGGGTTATTGAGTAGGTTATTAAACATAGTCAAAGTTGGATTTTCACTTCTCCCCCTCAAACCTCATTTGCTTCCGATGGCCTTTTAGAAGTTCTATTAATTTTTGTTGTATTTTGTTTTATAAAATAAACACAATGAAACGCGTGCGCTGCTTGGTCAAGAGCTGAGTTTGCATTAGCCAGTGCAAAGCACATCTGAGCTCAACCTATCAAATCGATCTACACAATCAATCAGTCAAAGAGAATTTGCAAATCGATCATGAATACATTTTAGAGGAAAAAACATTAAAAAAACTGCGCCTGGATCATCACGTTGTAGTCGTGCAGGGGCTTAAGTACTTCACTGAAGGAAAACTAAGAATGATCCAAACCCGGTCTCCGAACTTCGATGTCGAACTTTCGGAACCACACCTCCAACCTTTGCTGGCTTGATGAGACACACATGGAGGTTTGACTACCATACGAAACTACTACTAGAGGAAAAATTAAAATGTTTGTCTTTTTCGCATTATTGTTATTTTATAAATAAAATAAAAGATGTTTTTCGTGTTTGCACAGGCTTGTGCAAACCTCGGAGACGCATGTGCAACGAGCATGTGCAACCCTCGGGCTTGCACTGATCTGCTCTCGAGTTCTCCCAAAGGTCTCCCCGGTTTGCATAAGCCTGTGCAAACACAGTAAACATCTTTTATTTCTTAAGTGAAAGACTAATATCGCGAAAACCAGATAAAATAATATGAAAAGAAGTGCTGACTTAGCAAATTCTTTCACTTCTGTCAAATCACTTCAAGGCTGAGTAGCCAATCCCAAGTTGTACTCTACCATCCTCAATGTATGCTACCTCCTTATATGGTTGATGGAGGAGGCGGGGCTTACGCAAGCACGTGACATAACAAAACGTCACAAAATAAAACAAGTTTTCATCTCAAAGTCCTTAGTATCATTTGGAACAAGAGGTTGGCGAGAAGAACCACTGGACTATTGCCCGTAAAATCGTTTTAATTCAAGGAAGATGTCTTCGCCGTCCCCAGGGAAAAGAAGAATGGACACCGATGTGATTAAACTGTATCTTTCGCGTTTTTATGCACGGCCATCGCTTATAAAACCGACAGATTTTCTTGTTGTTATGATGTATCTTCATACGTATATAAGACAAGTCTCGATTCTTTTTCCATGTTTGTGTTTTTCTTAACTATTCCGTTTGCAGCATCGAGAGCAAGCACGAAGTCACGATTCTTGGTGGCCTTAACGAATTTGTCGTAAAATTTTTTGGACCTGCAGGCAGTAAGAATGTTTTTATTATTCGAGATGTAAATGGAGTCCTTCGAGGAGGATCCAATCCTATATGAATGTATATTGGTCGTTCGTTTTCTTGTTCGTTTGGTTTTAAAACTGAATTTATGGATTTCATTTTCAATGAAAAGCGAGGGGTGGTTTTTTTTTATTCTTTCGAGTTACAGCAGTTTCTCGAAGTTGAAAACACGATTTCCTCAGCTCCATTGCCAAAATTAATAATGTATTCACTCAATTGTAAACAAAAAATGTCTTTGAAATTTTAACATTCAGAATTATATCCTAAAATCTGCTCCATCGACTAACATAATCAATTTCTGCCAAATACCTGAACCACGCTCTATTTCTTACGGTTATGATACACCGATAATTCGCCTAATCATTTCTGTTCTGATGATAAAAAGCGAAAGCAACCAAATGCAAAGCGAGCTAGATATATTTGCATATTCATGCCTTTGTCGTCTTCGCATATTTGAAATATTATGCTTTATTGTACGTTTACAAAGCATGCTTGGTAACGGTTAGTGTTGGCGAGAAATTTCTTTCCTGAAATTGTTCGTGGCACAAGTTTTGAACTTAGGTTGATGACTGGACAAATCAAACTCATTACGATGTATTTGAAATTTGAATATTAAACATTTGCTTCGTGAAGATCACGTTTTACCCGCATGACTACAGTTATTATGTTTTAGATAACAATTTATGGTATAGAAAGGTGGATACAACAAATTATAGTGCCATACCTCATATTTCAAAGTTCCACTTACATGAGCTCAAAATTAGTGGTGTAACCGACCTGCACAATTAGTCACGTTTGGCAAGTTTTTCTCTGCTAGCTCACTTGCTGGGAAAAAAATAGATTTCTACATAAAGAAAACATGAAAATGGTCAAATGTTTTTGTATTAGAACCAAAACTTGCTGGCTGGATATACCACTGGATATATCTGACATGATTTACTTTGAAGCAACCCGACTTTTAATTTACCAAGTTTGAAAGGGTCTGAGCATATTGGTGATTATGATTCTTCTTTGCAGCACATTACGAAGGAGGCGTATGGAAAGTGAGAGTTGATCTACCTGATAAGTATCCATTCAAATCACCTTCCATAGGTATTATTTTGACGATTTTTGGAAAGTAAATTTCTATATCCAATCAATGTGTCTAAAGGCATTGATTTGATTTATGCTATAACAACCACAGCTCCCCAAGCTCCAGTATATCATCCTCATATGATGGTAAAACTGAAGGCTTTTTTTACTCTGGTCTTTTGTATTTATTTGTTAGGGCTATAGTTTGATGTTAAAACGCAAGTCCTTTCTTGTGTCTTGTTTTTTTTTGTGCAGCTTGAACACTTGAGTTCTTATCAGTTTCAATTTATTGCCTTCACTTGTCCTTGATTTCTATTTGCATATGGTCTTAAATTTAGGATTCCTAAACAAGATATATCATCCTAATATTGATGAGGCGTAAGTATGATTATGTTTGCATTGATAATGCTTTTCATAAGTGTGATTAACTGTGGTTTCAACTTTAGGTCTGGTACAGTATGTCTTGATGTGATCAACCAAGCTTGGACAGCCTTATATGGTACTATTTTGTTATTAATTTGAAGTATTTTGTAAGAGAGTACTTTTTGACCTGTATCCTAAGCTGAAGAAATGGTTTCATTCTTTCATGAACGAACTCTCTCAAGATGATGCACTTGTATCTTTTAGATCTTTCCAATATTTTTGAATCCTTCTTACCTCAACTATTAACGTATCCTAACCCTGTTGATCCCCTTAATGGCGATGCAGCTGCGCTTTATCTACATAAACCAGAGCAATACAAAGATAGGATTAAAGGTATCAGTCTGCAGACGAGATATGGTTTGGTTTTTATTGTTTGAAAGTTTAGTTGACTTTAAAGATGACTGCTGCTAAAGTTGTCAAAACCTCAGTCAATACAAATTGTCCTCAGGCCTTTACTAACCTAGACAATCCACATCTACAAACATTTAACGATACTCCCAGGATCAAACCATTCACTTTATTGAAAAGTTGAATTGCATTTAGTTGAATAGAGTTTTGTGTAAGGAGACCTATATTTCATTGTGCAAAAATGATGTGTTAGGTATGTTGTCCTAGGTATGTTTTTGTTACAAGTTTGTAGATCCATATGTGGATTGTCCAGGGTTAGTGCACTCCTGACATTTACTCCTTTCTTGACTATAAAGATGTTTATCACACGGGATGTCGAAACCTCACTCAACACTGAAATGAGCAGGCTTTCACTGAGCTGCACTAACCTGGGTGATCTGCATCTAAAACGTTTAATAAATAATACTTCCTTGTTCAAACCATTCATTTTCCATGGTTCTGTGCGTATCCAAAACTTTCTGGCACTGTCTATTTCTCGTATCAACATTCACATGCACATCCATGAGAACATCAACATTTTCTACATTTGTCATCATAGTTCGGATCAATCATTAACTTTCGGACTAGAAAAGTAACTTTTTCTGCTTTCTTGTGAAATCTGCTGGTAGGTGAACTGGACGTCGTTAAAGGAAAAGTGGACGTTTTTTGTTAGTTCGGTCTTTGATTTTAGATGCTTTCTTCTTTTTGTCAAGAAACATGTACGTGAAACTCCTAACGCGGAGTGTAGACTAGTACATCGAGAAAATTATTAAATTTAACTCCTTGAACTAGAGCATCCATCTTTAACATGTCTTCTTCTTCTCATTTCAGCTGCTCCCTTATTTACTTTCACTACCTCGCTCTTACTGTCCTATATGATCTTTCTACCACATCCTTGTTTATCACTGTTATGTTCCTTTTATACTCTCTCGACACCTCCGTCTACCTCTTATATACATGGCCTTCCTCTTCTCCGCCCTGTCATCCTTTACATACGCATAAATATCAGAATTTCCGACATGAAATTTTTTCATTAATATAGACTATATTAAGAGATTCGCTACTGAAGAAGCGCTTAAGGAACAAGATGAAATGAGCTCGTCGAGTGAAGAGAGTACCATTTCTGATTTTTCAGAAGACGAGACACATGACATGGAGTTATAGTATTGTGCAAAGGATATAGAGGATTTTATATATTAAACTTAATTGTACAGAACACACTTTATATACATACTGCAAGCTTGATGCACGAGCCGATGAGATGCGTTCCGATGGCCAGCCTTTGCCCAAGCTGCATGCAAACAAAAAATTGCTGCAGGTTGTGCTCAGGCTAAACGTTGTGCTTTTATGTTTAAGCAAAACTGGTGAAATTCATGTTTATTCTTAAGTTGCCATTTCATTATGACCTCCGCATAGATTGCGTTATATTGATATTTCATTTGCGATCACAAAAATATTTCCTCTTTCATACATCAGGGTTTCATGTTATGTAAAATTCAGCGCATTTTGATTGGTTATTCTTGTTATGATGATTCCTTTTCGTGTTTCTTAAAGACCATCGGAAACACTATTGTATATCATCTGCTCAAACTTGTAGTATTTTGTACATAATTGTCCCCATATACTATCCCTTTGTACACATTCGCCATTTCGCCCTACTAATGGACGAAAACAGTGTGAATTCCACCAGCAATTTCCTTCAGTTCTTACTTGCTCTGCTTCATGTCTTACTAAAAACACTAGTAGCTATGTAGAAGTTTCTCGTTGCATTTTTTTATGTTCTAGAAACTTTGTTTGGCTTTAAACGTTGTGTTAGATATCTTTCTATCATGTTGTTTTATAAATCTAAGTGCTCAAGTAAACAAGCAATGTTTTAGGATACCACAGACATGCTACAAACGGTAATACGATTTTTTGGCTAACGAGAAAAGTTTTCTACCAATAAAAGGAGTGCGACGAGAGTTATAACAGTTTGTTTTCGAATGAAAAGTTGATTGGAATGGGCAAGCTAGGTATATGCATGTATAAACTTATTTTTCTTATCAGTCATACAATGTTCTGTTCAGCATTAGTTCGTAGAACTTCATTTAATGAGTAGTTGGCGCGTCATGTTTTAAGAAATTTGGTCTTCTGCTGTTGTGAAAACATATATAGTATTTTGTTTTAGTCAAAGAGGTCGAGTCATGTAAAATGTTGAAAGAAAATAATTATATCAAATCATAGAATCGTATTTGGTCTTGTGAGTAATTGCAGTTTTTGCATTCTTCATAATCATGGAGTAGAAGACATTCACCAAAGATCGTATTGAATTATCATCTCGTATTGATCTACGTTTATCTCTCATGTAGTTGTCTTAGCCGTCTCGTTGTAGTTTTCCGCATATAGAGCTCTGTCTTACTCTAGATACAAACCACTTTGACGACAATGTGAGAACTGAGCTTATAAGAAAGGAGAATTAATTTGATTTTTTGTTACCTACTCGATGCTACTGCGGTGAGAAGAGGCTTGACCGTTTTGTTTCAAGTTTTATCGTTTCAAAACTGTTTTCCAAAAAATCTACTACCGCGCAGCAGGTATCGGGTGTCCACTTGTGAGTGAAGTGTGACTTCCCGGGACAACTTGAACTTTTTCTTTCAAGGATAACTCGAGACGTCGATATATGAGCTACCCCAGTTGTTTGTCATTATCGAAGCATAACATGCATCAAAAAACCCAGTCACAAGTATTTTCCAAATACTTGTCTTGCACAAGTTAGATTTCACGACCTGGAAAAAGCTGAAACTTACGATACTTTGTATTTTCGTAAAAAATTATCATGCGGTCATTTCGTTTATTTGCATTGCAAATGTTGACAATCAGCTGACTCTGACTGAGTTCCTTCTCTGCATTGTCTTGTATTACAAAGAAGATGCTTCGCTTGGCATTGTTATCTTGTGAGAATTACGGCGTTCAAAAGTTTGTGAGAGGAAAGATGTCGCGTGTAACGATTCTATCCTTCGTTCTTATTATGGCTATTCATGCCGTATTTGCTAGATTACCAAACTGTAAAGAGGTATTGAATATTGGTGTTTTGATCGTGCGGTTTAGCATCCATCGTTTATAACACGTCTTGCTTACAGGGACAGTACGAATACGAGTTTACAGAATGTGATTCGGCCGGCGGAAGGTGGCGTGTGGCCGTGCCACGAAGAAACGAGGAGTGTTTAGCCACTGGCCTTCCTCCCATACGACAAAAGAAATGTGGTGAGTTTACAATGAGTTATCATTTTCAATCTATTTGAATTGTCGTTGCTTTGAAGAAAACTGACGTACGTGAAATGGAATATATTATGTTATCTGTGTGCTTGACTGAGCAATTTCAAAACAAAGATTCATGTACCTAGTGCAGGCTGAATCTTTACCTCATCGCGAGTTAAACATATAGGCGATTTGTAAGGTTTGGACTGAGAATTCTTCTGCATGGGACACAAACACAAATGCGAGTGTATGAACTTTGAAGCACAGACAGTCACGAGAGAGTCATTTCTCATTGGCACCGGTGCTATACAAAATAAAATGAATGCTTTTCATAGCATCAGGAACGGCTTTTGCCGAGTTTAATCGAAGTACTTGGTTTCCCAATCTACCCAGGTTTACACTAAAAAAGGGGTTTTTATTTTCGCAATTTATACTACAAAAACGTCTTTAAAAGAAAAATTTTTGAAGTCTCGTTTACTTGAAAGAAAAACAAGCAGTATCCTTCGAAACATCGAAAGTTCAGGAAATTTTTCATTTGTTTGTCAGTGGTCCGCAAAACATTAATTTACTTTATTTTTCCGTCCTGTCTTCTCACGATAAATCTTTCGCGATTCTTACATCCTGATCCCCTTTTCAATCTACAGAATCGTCGTGTGAACCAGGACAGTTCCTTGATGTTTCAAGTGCTGAACAGTCTTGTCAGCCTTGTCCTGTCGGTCATTACAGCTTGGGAGGTGACGTCGTGTATACAAACTGGACCATACTGCCAAGTGGCTTTGAAACGCAGTCGTTTGATGACAGTGACGAATACAGATCGTCGAAAACAAAGAAAGATAACTGCACGAAGTAATTAAAACCAACACATAATAATGACATAATGGTATTTTTAATCTTCCTATTTAAGCACTTGGCTTGTTAAGGGTTTGGGATCGTTTCATGGATCGCCCAGCCGAATACCATTGTATACACAAATTAGAAATTTGTGTGTGGTCTAAATTATGTTGATTTTTCTTTTTCTTTTAAAAAGTAGCACTGAATTAGATTTCTGTGTAGTGACATGAATCAATTACATCATCATGTCAGAGCTCACGGATCGTGATGAGAAAGTTTGTTTTTCCAATTTTTAGCTCTTTGTGGAAGGCAGCTGGTGACTATTTAGTCTCAAGTGCCGATGCCTGTACATCACAGCTTACTTTAGCCATAACGGTAACTCCTAGATGAATGATTAACGCCGAGTTTCTAATGGCAGACAAAAAGCAATGATCGAATTTCCTTTAGTTAAAGAAGGACGGCTACGTCACTTTCTCGTACCGAAAGCCAAGCAGTGACGTCTTTTTCAACGTTTTTGTAAGTACATTGCTGACGCGCTTGTTTAAAGTCTTGAAGTGATAAACAACAAGCTTTTATCGCCGAATCAGTTCGATTAAATTACGATTATATTTTGATCTTTTACACTACCAGGTCCGTAATGAACAGTGCATGATGAGCTCAAGCGAAGATTCCTATAAATATCTCCCACGTACGAGAAATTTCAAATGGGATAACGAAACCGTAAGTGACAGCCCTGACAACGTTTGTTTTCACAAAATGACGTAATCATGCTTAGCGCGTGGCGACGTAACTCGTCTCATTGATTGAAGAAAGTCAGTGAAGCGATGGATCTTTTTATAAACACACGACACTAAGGGAACAGTTTGCATTTGTGATTATGGCAATAGCGTTGACGGATGACACCTTTAGTTGGAACCAGTCCCTCGCAGATTTTTATCTTTGCAACTGATTTTCACTACTTGTTATACGTTCAAATACTGTACAGGTGTTTCAGAGCTGAGGCAAAGTAAAGTAGTGCTGTTCAACAAAAATAAATCGAAAACTATTCCGAAAATAGGAATTGTGCAATTTTTCGTCTGTTCGTTGAATATGTTTCGTTTCGTGGTAAAAAATTTGGAGTGCTTGTTCTATAATTCTATTGAAAGAAATTTCGTGTGTTTCAATCAATTCTGCTTTCTCCGAAGGTGCATTTGAAACGAGGCCACAATTTGATCGTTTGGCAAGCATCGCTGTTTCCATCGACCGATCAACAAAACGTTGAACAGAGGGGGGAACCAGTTTTTATCAAATCCATTCGCGTGAAAGGTTTGTGAAATCGTTGACAGAAGCAGTTCGAAATTGACCATAGAAAGGTACATCGGTGTGAGTTTTAATCTGAATATTTCAGGTGTTGCCTATACTTCTGAGTGTTTCCCCTGCCCCGTTGGAACTTTTGCTGATCAAGAGGGAACAAAAAGGTAAGATTTTTCGATGGAGCCCAGCGATGCGTCACATTATTTAAGGTAATTGACTTGCTTGGCCGGTGTTATTGTGACTGTTGAGTAAAATCATAGTTGCATTCATGAACGAGGGACACATCCAACGATTTTGTTCATTAGTGATTTTTTTGAAGGTGAAAATTAAGTGTTTGATTAGATATTTTTGTACGTGCAACAAACTATAGCTTTGATTGATGTTATTTTTGACATGAAATTTTACATTTTATCCTGCTTTGCAGATGCAAGCCTTGTCCGGCTGGTCAGTTTTATCCTGTCGAAGGAGGAACGGAGTGCAAAAAATGTGACATAACAACACAATACTCGAGTGGGTTTTTTACTTAGAACTTTAAAAAACTACTTCAGTTTTCTTCTGTGTAGAAACTGTAAAGCAGTAGCGTGTTGAACACAAACATATTTTAGTTGTGTTGTTTTAATTCCGCAATATTATCGAATTATTATTTTAGAAATCAATTTTATGTAGTGAATGAACGTGGCACGAATAATTGTTACCTATATGTAATATTTTGTACATTTTAGGAACTGGTTCGGCCGAATGTGAAAAAATGAAACCGTGCACAGTCAACGACTACATTGAAACTCACAGTGTTTGTGATGAGAATAACAAGGTATTAATGTTTAACCATGCACTTGGAAATAAACGTCAATGTTCCTGTTTCACGTTGTTTTGCTTAAAGTGACAATATTTAGGCCACGTGATAAGGTATGCGCGTGGTAAGAACCATATAGGAAAATGCGAAACGATTCACGAATGATTTACACTCAGTAGGCCGCTGCTCTTACAAAATTTAGCAAGGCAGATGGCATTTATAAAAATGTTCCTCCGTACCCTTAATTAATGTTATGAGGACCTGCTGACTTTCGTTTTATCAATGCACACTAATATCAGTAACACCCTAAGACTGCATGTACAAGGTACAAGATCGGATCATTTTTGGGAGGTAGTTCCTGCCAATCGCCTCTTCCTACTTAGCAGTTTCTAGAAACCACGGTCACGTGTTGATGGTGCAGCTCATCAACAACAGAAAAGCCGAGAACGAATGTTAGAATATACGAATGACGTCCTTCATCGTTTCTTCAAGCGCCCCTGGTTGTTTTTTCTTCGTTAGAACTCGTCAACATTACAAAAACCATCAACCTCACATTCGTGAATATAACAGGAATTTCAGATATCGATACGGTTTATTTTTAATATTTTTTCATTCTTTCAGTTTAGAAAGACGTTTCTATGGATCGAGCCAAAAATTTGTTTGAGCAACGTCAAGGGATCGACTGCCTTACCAACATCGGGAGTGGAAGCTGATTGTCCACCGTGTAATCCGGGAATGTTCAAGAACGGCACGACATGTGATTTCTGTCCTCCAATGACATTTTCTGACGGAAAGGGAGAAAGTACGTCAGTTTTTTAAGCCCAATTTCTTGGGTCTATCACAATTTAGGTCGTACGAAAGTTTTTAATAAAGTTTCAATTTCAATTATTGTCTTCAGATTGTACGAAGTGCCCTCCCTCGACAGAGCCTGAATATGGTTTCGATTTTCATTGGTGGAGAAGCTGGCCGGAAAACATGGAACAATTATGCAAGTCAGGACATGGTAAGGCATGATGAAGGACCGATTGCATGAAAAATTTGATAATGCTTTGCCCAGTTGAAAGGTGCATGAGATCAAAGAAGTTGACACCTTTTCTGAATGATCAAACCAGCCGGGACAACTTGCTTCATGTGATTGTAGTGCCTTAATTAGTGAGGAGAATACATGTCGTCAGAACGCTGGTATAAAGAATGATAGACAAATATATTTCATGCTGTTGTCATAGGTGCAACTTTAAAGGATTATAGAGACGCATATTTTATACTGTTAACATAATACAGTTGTTAAGAATGATAGGCAAGTATACGCTATGCTGTTAACATAAGTACAGATGTGAAAGATAATAGCGAAGTATGTCTTACCCCAGGATTGTAATTGCAGCTATAGACTGAATGGATGATATAAAAGGATACTTTTTACTGTCCTTGTTTTACTGTATTGTTTTAAGTCAATTCTATACTGTAATCATTCATATGTACAGTTGTAACAGATAGACAGAGAAATAAATTTCTTCCTGTGTACGTTTTAACATAAAAGGATTATAAGTATTCATAAGAGCAAGTCTTTCTGATATTTCTCGTCTGCGTCTATCTTTTCAGACAGAGGCTGTGCTTCAGGGTTCGAGCTTCGCGGTAACATGATCGATAGCGGATACGGGCACGCGGATGATGTTCAGATGCTATTGTTCCTGGGAACGGATGGTTTCAAAACAAGCTCTCTTTCTCCTGGGTTGGGCGTAATCAGTTTTGAATTCAAATTGATTTGCAAGGGACCTTGCTCGCTGACTTTTCATCAGGTAGATATTTGTGATTCTTGAACATCAATGAAATGTTAAGTTAAACGTTTTTGGCTTTTACAGTCATGCCAGTAGGTTGTGTGTGTGTGTTTGGGGGAGGGGGGGGGGGTTGAATTTCTCCATAGAAAAAATCCTTTGAGCACAACTGTTTGTTTGTTTATTGATTAGACGTTAATGTGTCTCTTCGCCAAAAGTTTCTTATTTCCTCACATCTATTTCATATTTGCCTCTACTGGTTATTGGTATTGATATTGCGTGTTGTGAAAATTTAGAAACTCTCAGATGTTATTCTGTGATAGTCAAGCCAAAATTATGAGGTAGCATCTCAGTCATGTGGCTCTTTTATGACTTATTTGTTACGATGGGAGCTCGCAAATGATCTATTTGATTACAGCAACTTCAATGATCGGGATATTTAAAAGCTGAAAATATCCGCTATTTCTGTCTATATATAGCATTTGTACGTAACTAAAATGAAAAATTATAATAAAGAAAAGTCGGTAGGATAAACGCTGTTCCAGAAATCCTCAAACGTGTTTTTTAAATGTTCCCAGTATGAGATAATTTATGTAATACTCCAATGACAGTATTTTGAACAAGATTGTGCACCCTTCAAGCTGGAATACCTTTGCCACGCGTTAGACATTCAACCAAACGCAACTCGGTTGAGGCAACTTGAATTTATCACAAAACAAAGTTGGGGGTTGTTCAACTATGAGAGTGTCATCAAATCTTGCGTTAAAAGAGCGGATGCGGTATTTCATTAAGAGGGGTGCATTATTTCGAAATGATCTCTCCCACGCACACCCTCTCTCTAGATCTGCTCCTGGGTTATTTGACTTTGAATAATTGCTCGTTGTTCCTGATTATATTTTAAATGCATCTTGGTCTATCTTAATACAAACAGCTGTATTGAATATTTTAGCTTGATACGTACATTATTTTCATTTACAGTTACAAGCAAGCAAGAAAAAAGATGAACACGGGAAAGACGAGAAAATCCACGAATGGAACGGAAAGCAGGAAACGCAGACATACACGTAAGGCGCTTTTTATAGATAAATTAAAATAAATTATTGAACGATATAAATCAATGTAATACAAAAGCTACTGGTACTGTTGATAGTTTTTCTACTAAAATAGATAAATTAAGATAAATTATTGAATGAATTAAATCAATTTAATACAAAAGCTACTGGTACTGTTGATAGTTTTTCTACTAAAATAGATAAATTAAGATAAATTATTGAATGAATTAAATCAATTTAATACAAAAGCTACTGGTACTGTTGATAGTTTTTCTACTAAAATAGATAAATTAAGATAAATTATTGAATGAATTAAATCAATTTGATACAAAAACTACTGGTACTGTTGATAGTTTTTCTACTAAAAATGCATTGTACAAATATTTTCTATAGTTTTCAAGCCACAATAAAGCACACCGAAGGATATTATTGGATTTTCACGAAAGGCACTGATTATGGCCGAGATTACGATGCTAGCGAAGACAACAAGGGCCATTTTAACTATCCAGACGACAGGTTGGTCTCTTCATATCGTGTACGAAGAACTTTTATTAAATACAATTTCAGTTTCTGCTAGGTCGTTTAAGTGTTATTTAAATGTAACCAATTACGTCAATAATTTTCAAAACGTAATTTTATTTTACTAATTAAAGTAGCTACAACAATTGAGATCAATTTATTTGAGATTGTTGTATCAAATCACGAGTTTTTTCGAGGAAGAAAAACGCCAATATTTTATTTTGCCAGTAAATGATGTGTTGTGTCAGATAAGATACGGTCAAACATCTTTGTTGAATTTCGATTGCTCTTCTGAACAATCTCAGTTACGTTGTACTGGAAATGAAATTTTTCCTTGAAAAATGCGCTTTCAAATGCAAATTTCGATTGCTCTTCTAAACAATCTCAGTTACGTTGTACTGGAAATGAAATTTTCCATTGAAAAATGCGCTTTCAAATGCAGATTTATTTCAGTTCGAAATTTGGCGTCGATTGAGCAAAGGATTTCCATATATGAAATATTAAAGCTTTACCACTTTTTGATTTTCGTGTTTTTAGGGTTGAAATTTACTCGATTAAAGTCACGAAAACGGTCGATGGGGGCGCTGCCAGTTGCAAGCCGTGCCCTCTAGGAATGGGCGATGAAGGGTAAATATTTTCTTAGAGCTACTGTACATAAGTTACAAAAACGTTTAAATATCTCCTAATTTTAAACGCCGTGCATCTATTGGTCTTTTTAGCTGCATTCCGTGTCCTAAAGGAAATCGAATTGTTCAAAAGAACGGAAAATCAACTTGTGAACCCTGCCCTAAAGGCATGTGCTTTATGTTATAGTGTTGTTGATGGTAACGTAAGCTTCACACGTAAGCTTAACTTGTATGTTTGTGATGTCTGTTAATTCATTACTATACAGTTTTGATCATGCTGATCAGTGATCATCGCTTATGTTGTGTCTGTAAAATACCAACGTTGTGCTTCACTGCTTAATTTGTTACTTCATGTAACAAAAAGTAACACGTTCAGAGTATAAACATTGATTTAAATGCCATTATCAATGGGATTATTTATGAATGGTTCTTTCAAGCACGCTGCAATTTCTCTAAGAGTCCTAACATCAGGTACTCAATATAATCTTTCCAGATACTTACCTGAACGTCAGCAATCTATATGGTGAGGATGCTTGTATTCCTTGCGGTGACATGCTCACGAGGTACTTGTATATCCCTATTTGTACTACTTTAGCTGAGAAATGTCTATACGGTGATTCTATTATGTATAGCCAAGATATTATACAGATTTTAGAGAAGAGACCATCTGAACGTCATTTGTCTGTTATCTGGTTTGCATTCATGTCATTTCACTCCATAGTAAAAATCTTTTCAAAAATCTATCATGATTACTGTCGTATAAAGCTAAAAATCTATAGGAAGTAAACAGCTTGAAAAAATAAGTGAACCTTTTTTACCCTTTACCCCTGTAATTTACCCTTCCGAAAAACGTCGTGGGGGAAATGTTCATCTATCTAGCCGACGTAAAAAGTTTCTAACTTTTCAGTGCGTCGGGCTCCACGGAATGTGTGTCTAATTGTAAGTTGACAAGCAAAGAAGGAAAAATTTTCGATTTGAATCCTTTAGCTGGGTATGTGTTTTACTGTGCTGTGATCTACTGTTTTTACTCACCTTTTTTATTCATTCTTTTTATGTACAAACCATTTTATGTTTCAGATTTTACAGCGTAAAGACTAGTGCTCTGTTCACTCCCAAAGGAACGAAGTACTATTACCATTTCAACTTAAGCTTTTGTCAGAATGAAGAAAGTCACAGGAAAGCTTCCTGCTTCAGAAATATCTCCATGAAAGGCATTGAAAAGGTAAAATAAGAGTGAAAAAAGCGACTTGTGTCGATAATTTTATTTTTATAAAGTGTTCTTCTTAAAAATCCAGCAAAGATTCATTATTTCTAGTTATAGTAGCATAATTACAAAAGAAAATCAAACCTCTGTGTGTAGTTGACTCCATACTCTAGAAATCAAAAACACATTTGCGATCTTTTTGTTTATCCGGAAAGAATTGCTAAATAAACTTCTTTACACAAAATGACGACCTATGTTTTTAACTGCTCTCCATAGAGATCCTCCAAGGGATCTTCATGCTATAATTCACTACATGCAGGAGGAATTTTGATTGACTGTTCTTGCTTCATTTCACCTAAGCTTATAAGACTGCATTGGTTTTGGTTTGTGACTTAATAATAATAAAAACCAAACTATTTTATTTCTTTTCACGTCCTATACAAGTCATATGCTAAAATTTATTTGCTTTCAGAATCAAGAGGTTTTCAATCACACCATTTGCCGAATGACAATGATTCCAAAACGAGGCGCAAAGCCATTAGCCGCTCAACCAATGAGGTATGAGAACAGTGTCATGCCTGAAAAAGAAAGATGGTTGCCGCTTCTTATAGCGCGTGCTTAACACGGTCATTTTTCTCATTTTGCTTACAAATTGTTTAGTAAATATGGTTGTTTTATAGTGTGGGGGAACAGCTTATGAAGATTACAACAGAGAAAGTGAGAAAAACCGACGAGATATACGCTGATAAAGGTCTTATCAACGCGACCGTATTGACAATGCATTACGCAGGGCATGGGTAAGCATAATTAATCGAGAAATGAAAATTTAACATGCTTTTTCATGTATAATTTTACTTTTGTCATTTCAGGAAAAGTAAATATTGCCCTAAAGGAAGATCTACCGTCATACATCATGTTTGTGATCCACATCGCAATCCAAGTGATGTAAGTGTTAGTTTGTTTTAAATTGAAACGAAAATTCATAAGGTGGTCATATTCTATGCAGCACGTGTGTTACACGGAATGATTCTTAATGGTCTCAGTAAAATTTATCCCACGGACTAAGTCGTATAGAAAAGTTACATTGTCAATATTTGCTTCATGTAAGCCACACCATATTTTTCTGTCACCTTAATTGTTTCCACACCCAAACTGTGTGCGCCTGCGAGTAAATATTCAAGGTATATAAGACAGCGGCGTGAGCTGGGCTTTGCACAAGGCAATGCAAGTCAACTCAAACGATTTTATGACTAAGGAAGGAAGAGCTGTTTTCAGAAAAAGCGCAGCAGCTGGATGCATCTAAAGAGATATGACGCATTTTTTTGTGATTTGCATGTTTGTTGATGTAATTTTAGGCGTCTGTGGAGAGTCTCGAGCTACACTTCGGACCAATAATTTAAATGTACAAAGGGAACGATGTTTTTATCGTATGTAGTGTTTCATAGCTACATTTATCTCATGTTACTAAAACTTATTTCTCATCTCGACACAGGTTAAAGTTATGTTGCCTGCAAAATGCCCGCAAGGAACATGTGACGGTTGCAGGTACGAAATGTTAAACTTTTTTCGTTCGAATAAAGTATAAACATAATTTATTGACAACAGATAACGAGAGCCTCCCTTTTCATGAAGCAGTTGTATTTGGGTGATGAAGATTTTGTTCGATCATAATGAGGGTGTGGTGAAAGAATCAAAGGGGTTCGACATGAAAATAGCCAACTGGTTTCAGTAATATTGACCAACTCTTGCCCAATTTTTAAAGACAAGAACCAAAAACTACTTGCAATAACGACTTTGGAATGAAAAAATTAATGATTAATACCAATTGAGATTAGATTAATTGTAGCAAAAAACGTACGTTTTTCATTCTTTTGAATTTCGATACTTTAAATTAGAGATTATTGGAGGGTTATCACACTCCCCACACACACTCCTTGTGGTCGTCACGTCGCTAATCATAATCCTGAAGATATCGTGAAAGAAAGCTTGATGAAAATTCTTATTCTGCCGGTTTTGCTGCGTCTTGCTGTACAGCTTATAAAAAAATAAAAAAAGTCGTTACTGTGTTAGAATTTTTTCTACTTCACACTGACATCTCACTGAAACAGTAGACATGTCAATTGATTATATCGTCTGTGAGCTCCATATTCAGCTTTCTTGTAAAATTTGGTAAACCCCGGCACACGTCAGACATGCTTGTTGACTCAGTTTTGGTTTTTATTTTTAGTTTTCATGTCATCATGCGCTCAGCCTTTGCCTGTCCATTTTGTACCAAGGATGATTATTATGGTGTTATGACTGGTTGTGTGGTGAGTTTGTTTGTGCTTCCACTTTCTTTCGCTGGGAGTATCATTTGTAACTACCACGCAAAAAGGAAGCTAAGCCTGAGATATATTGTAACTGCCATCAGTGCCATGTGAAGAATGAGGTCACTCGTTCTTTGACAAAGCCGGACCAAAGGACGTGTCGTCCCTTTAATTCAAAATATTCAATTTGAAAATTATCATTTAGAAGTGGTATTATCAGTTTCACTCAATAATTAAGGAACATTACTCGTTGGTAATCGCCATTGTGTAACGCAATTTAAGTACCATGCTCGTATCAAAACAGTACAATCACAATTGGGATTTAAAAGACCGGTTGGGAATTCATTCATTCAGCCCTTATTATAGTTTATCAAGGAGGGGAGACTTTCTTTTCGTGTGGTGTTTAATTAAAAGCAACTATTCATTTTGACAGAATGGAAAGAAAAACACAACATTTGTTTGGAAATCACCGAAGTAAGTAGCTCCGACGCCACGACATAAAAAATACAAAGTAAAAAATTGTACATTTACTAGATAGATAGATAGATAGATAGATAGATAGATAGATAGATAGATAGATAGATAGATAGATAGATAGATAGATAGATAGATAGATAGATAGATAGATAGATAGATAGATAGATAGATAGATAGATAGAAAGAATAACTTTCTTTTAACACTCTGATCCCAAAATCCGAAGCTGATGTTTTCACGAAGGGGGCGTGTAATCAATCGTTTAGTTCTAAATTACTTTAAATCATCGAAAAACTCACTTTTTTAGAGGTTGTGTTGGTGGAGTATTTTTACCGAAACGCAATACAACGACGTGCAGTATTCTTGAGAGATCCGTTAAAGATTTTGCGGTAAGTTACACGTTTCACATAAAGTCAGCTCATGAATGAAAACTTAGAAATTTTCATATAATTCTTTTGAACATTGCTTCGGTAACGACAGTAGACTTCGGCAGATCTCCTTTTTCTTTCAAGATACACAGAAATTTTCTTTAAATTTCAAATATCCTTTGAAAAGTTTCGGTTCGAAATTTTGCAAGAAATGAAATGAGCTAAATTTCATGCCATTAACACTTCACAAAGAAGGAAGCCTGATTAAGAAAAATATCAGAAAATATCTGCCATCAAATATAAAATTATACAATACGACGCAACTGGTTGGGTAAATCGAACCGAACATCTAAAAAATGTGCATAAAAGAAAAGTTTTCTGTCGTTTAAGGTTCTGTTAAACAAAAATACAATTTACGCATCAAAATATTAGTTTCGTTCACACTTTAATGCATATCATTCTTAAGCAAGAAACCAAAACCCTCAATAAGAAAATCTTATTGCCATGACATTCTGTGCTCAAATTAGGCAATGCCACTAAAGGCATGCTTAGCTGAGAGCAACTGAAGCGGCATATTTAACTTAAAGAACATAAAAGGTTTCGTCAATAGTCGTTTTTATCATGACAGATAAAAAAACTCTAAAGGCCCCCCCCCCTTCCATCAATAGGGAATAGTATACTGTTGACCGATGCTCCTCTCTAAATGGAATGCAGTTTTAAATAAATCATATATTATAATCTTTATTTTATTAACAGATTGGTCTGGCATGCTTTGCTGGTTTTGTAATTCTTATGATTCTTGCTATTTTGATTCTGTGGTGTAAAAATAGAAGGTAATGTGCTTAAACTATTGAAGTATACTTATACTTATACTTATACTTATTAAAGTATTGTTTTACCTTGTGTAGTAGACCGAGTAAACTTCTTGTACATAAATACATTTGAATATAATTTGAAAAAGAGTTTGATTGGTAACATTTATTAGCTGTTTTAACATTCACAGCTAATGAAAAAGTTGTTATTATTGTGTTTTGTTAAAATTAGGTAGGATTGAGTAGCTAAAATTTATAATGCAAATCATCAAATCGCCCCTGATCGAGAACTTTCTCTATGTACATAAAGTAAAGCTAAATAACTGTATGAACAATTTCATTCTCCTCTTTTTTTGTGATTTAGACTTGAGTACAAGTATCATAAGTTAATACAGAATGCGTCTGATGCTTCTGGAGAATTACCTGGAGCACCGCAATGTGTAGGAGATGAGGAGGACGACGAGGAAGACGTAAGGATTGTGTTTCATTACGTATTTTTGTCCTATTTTTGTAGCTGAGAAAAGCTCTTCAATTCAACCTGATTATTTACCAGATAACTATTGATGGGTTGCAACCATCCCCTTTGGAGTAAGAGAACAATGGAACGTTCGCCATGTTGGATGAAATTTGCTGTGTACATAAATAAGGAAAATTCTTTGTTAAAATCATCCAACATGGCGATTATGACGTAGCTTGCAACCCAAGAATAGCTCTTCAATTTGAACTACGTTTTTACCATATAACTATAACTTTTAGTTCTATGCTGAACGAAGTTACAATCATTACATCGTAGCTAGCTACTGATATTATACAACACCTTCCAAAACCGAACTGAAGTAAACTCATTGTTTAAACAACTTATCAGTCCGCTAAACTGATTCTCTTGCTGGTTTTTTATGAATTATCTTTCATTGATTCATCTAACTACCAGAAGATGTAGAGTAAATGTCGAATTGAAGTATAGCTTTGTTCGTTCATCAATGTTGTTTGTTTACACCATGTCATTTCTATATACACGACTTAGGTTCATTTCAAAGGTGTACGAAGAAAAGGCAAAGGTTTCTTTAGCAATATAAAAAACAAGTTTGGTGGTGATTCAAAATACTCGGTAAGAAATATCATGTATTTTTTCTTTTATCGAAATTCAAACCTGTTAGTTTGGAATACATTTATGTCTAGCAAATATTTTTATCTGAATAAATTTGGTTTTATCTTTGTTGATCCAACAATGTGGAATTTGTTTCATACGTTTCCCATTTCCTGTATGGCTTGTTAGCTAGTGTTTGTTGGTTGCTTGACCCTTTGTTTATTAAGTCTTTAGTTTGCATGGTCTTTACAGGAGCGTTACCCCCCTTCTTTTTGTTGTTGAAACAGATTTTTATTTTGTTATTATTTTGGTCTTCTCAATTTCGCATTTCTATTTATGTTTGTTTTTTCTTCTCGTAGGATCAGTACAACTTCGACAACTTTAGTGACGACGACGTTGGATCCGTTGAGCCCACATCGAAGACACCTTTAAGTTAAAAATGAGTCCCAGGTGTGGCGTTTCTTCGACCATCGACATTTTTTCGTCATGTTCTTGAACTTCTTTGTTTTCTGTTCCTCTAGATCAATTAAAATAAATTATGGACGTTAAATGGGGATGATGCACTGGAGTCACTTGTAATGAAAGATGTATTTCAACAAGAGGAGCTGATCTTGAAACTTTATGTATGAACTTCTAAAATCATTAGGCTGCGTAAGAGAAAGCTTTTATAGTTTTTACATCACATTGGCGTAAAATAAAAATACATTTAATCTTAAACGTAAAGCTGATGCTACTCAAAATCATTTCGAACGACGATAAGGCATCGAGTAAAAGAACAAACTAACTTGCATCGAGAATTTTTAGTTTGTTCTAGTTGTTTCG